AGACTGGCTTGGTGGGGATATCACAGTGTTAGGCAGGGAACTGTGCAGTGAGGAGGAAGAGAGACATGTGTTACCTGTGTATGTACTCTACACACCATTGAAAGAAGCATGCAGTGTAGACATACCCTTAAGGAGAGAGAAGGATCCTCTGGTGTAGAAAGCTGTAGCTTTCTCCACTGAGGAGATATTTCTGGGCTAGGGCTGTAGATATTCCCATGGACTGCATGGCTCCATGGTTGTGGTGGAAGGCCAAACCCTATCAGGAAGCTGCAAGGAACTTGTTTACGTGAGCCTTCCTCCTCCAGAGAACACCCTGTAACACCCTGGTGAAGAATACCAGTGGTTACTGTGAAAGCGGGGGGAAAAAAACATTAAGGCTTGCTTGCTAGGCAGCCAGCATCTTAGCCCTTCATGAGCAGATGCGAGCGCTGCGGCTGTGTATATTGAAATTATGGGAAGTGAGACTTGAAATACGTCAGGTCTGATTCTGATCTCACTTATAACAGTTATACACAGGTGTAACTCCATTGAACTCAGTGGAGCGCTTCCTGATTTAAACCAGTGCTGATGAGATTAGAATCAGGCCCTACATCTCTGGAGGAGTTTTGTACAGGGGGATTTATTTGCCTTACACTATATTCTGCAAAGACTCTTTCAAGCCGTCTCTGAATTTTTCTGCTGAAGCTGCAGGGTTGATAAAGCCCTTTTAGGGTACCTCTACATTTCACTAAAAGACCTGTGGTACCGAGTCTCAGAACCCAGGTCAGCTGACTTGGGCTTGCAAGGCTTGGGCTGCGGGGATAAAAATTGCAGCATAGATGTTCAGGCTCAGGCTGGAGCCTGGGCTCTGAGACCCTCCCTCCTTGTGGAGAGTTGGAGCGCAGGCTCCTTTCTGAGCCCAAACATCTGCACTGCAGCTTTGTAGCCTTGGGGTCCCGGGACTCGGATTGCAAGTCAGCTGACCTGGCCCAGCTGTGGCCATGCCACGGGCCTTGCAGTGTAGACATAGCCGTAGACATTTTTCTCCAAGCGAGGAAACTTTGCTAATCATGTTTTAAACCAGTGGCATGAAAGGCCTTTTTTAAAAGCTGGAGTGTGGAGCTGAGCACCACCAGCCATTTAAGAACTGCTTAACCATAAGAGTAACTGCAGCAATCAATGTATTACACTGAGCGTGTGCCTTGAAGATAAGGCTCTGGTCTCCCTACAGCTATTTCAGAGCAGCTGTTTGCTGGAAGATGGATGAAATACATTTGTACAAATAATCCATAATACCTCCCAAACGGAAGATATTTTAATTACTTGAGTACTGTACCTGCTTCATGGAGCAGATCCAAAGGAATGGAATGTTTAGTAGGTTGGTAATTATAGACCTTTTCACCTCTAGGTGTTAGGTTAAATCTAGGCCACCTCAGTAATGAGTAAAAGTTGTTACACTCACCTAATAGGCATCAAATGGTATTGCTGCCTGCAGTGACTCAAGGGTGTGAGTACCAACTTCAGGGCAGACTTTTAGGAAACAGGGCACAAACCCTAAACTGGCTGTGAGTTCTGTATTTAGATTTCACCAATGAATTATCAAGTGTAAACTCGTCAGGCACTATAACAGCCTTAACATCGAGTAACAGACAGTCCCCTTTGGTACCCTGGTTTATCTTATCACTCAGATAAGTTTATTTTTGTCATAGATGGTCCCTTACACCAAGAATGACAGCAATATTCAGGTTACTCCCAGTTCCAAAGGACCAGTCACTAACCCCAGGTCCATTGCACCTTAGATATCACCATGACAGAATACGCCCCTGTATTCATACCCTACATACTATTTTAATAATCTCTGTACAAAACATGCCTTGTAAGGTATCATTTTGAAACTTGTAATTTCCTAGTCAGTATTGTCCTGGTAAAATGTGTGGCAACGTTCTGTGTGAAGTTATAAGATTATCTTGTATGATGTTATTAACACATTTCCAAATGCCACAGCCCTATCCAGGCAGAAGTCAGGTTTATCCTAAACAAAAGAAGGAATGTGTGTTTTGCCTTAATTTGCATTGAAGCAGTAAACAGAGTCATCAAGCAGGGAGGGCAAACAAAGGAGGTTCAAACAGGTGAAAAAAACCAGCAGGGAATATCCTTCTACATAGTCTCTTTGTCTCCTAGTTTTCCGCTGGAAATGTTTTTCAAGAGGGGGATTGAAACTATAAAAAAGGAGGGACAATCACTCCAAGATACACCCTCCCTCCCTGCCCATCACATTCACTGCATCTGAAGAGATAAAGGAAGCAGCTGTTAGAAAAAAGGTTCCCCACCCCCTGGTCTATTGGAGGCCACTGATCCACAGAAAAAAAATCAGTTGTGGGCCACACACAGCCCCGCGGGGGGGCATGGAGTCTCAGGGCTTCTGGGGCCAGAAATTAGGGGTTCAGAGTGCGGGAAGGGGCTGTGGGCTGGGGCAGAGGGTTGGGGATCTGTTGTGGGGCTGGAGATGAGAGATTTGGGGTACAGGAGGGGGTTCCAGGCTGGGGCCAAGAGCTTTGGAGTGCGGGAGGGGGTTCTGATCTGGGGCAGGAGGTTCGGGGTGCGGGCTCTGGCTGGACAGTGCTTACTTCAGGCGGCTCCTGGTTGGCGGCACAGTAGGGCTAAGGCAGGCTCCCTGCCTGCTGGGGCTCCGTGCTGCTCCCAGAAGCCTCTGCATGTTCGGCCCCTAGGCGGAGGGGCAAGGGGGCTTTGCATGGTGTGTGCTGCCAGCGCCCACAGGCGCCACCCCCACAGCTCCCATTGGCTGAAGTTCCCGGCTATGGGAGCTGCAGAGCCAGCGCTGGGGGCGGGGCAGTGTGCGGCGCTTCCCTGATCACCCCTGCTCCTAAGGGCCACAGGGACATGCCGGTCGCTGCCGGGAGCTGCACGGAGCTGACCAGACTTCTGGCAACCTGGCGAGCATAAAACATAAAGATTCCAAGTTCCTTTTGTTGGGGGGCTTTTATCCCCCTCATGCCATGTGCTCAGAGCTGCAAATTCAGCTAATGGGAGCAGTCCACTTGCCTGAGTCATCTTCACAGGGAGGAAAGCAGAATAACAAAAGTCTTTTGTCCTCTTGTTGCAATACATAGGAAATTCCAGTTGCAATGTCCAACAGTAGTATGTCTGGTATTGATGGACCTTTCCTTTTGGGAAGAGCATAATACTTACTCTTGAAGGTCAGCCCTTCACACTAATTAGTCTCTCTCTCCTGTCTTGTGATTTACGCAGTCACAGAGGTTCACAATACAACCACTTAAATATTACCTTACAATATGGCTACCAATGTTATAAGTAGAACAGGAGTACTTGTGACACCTTAGAGACTAACAAATTTATTAGATCATAAGCTTTCGTGGGCTACAGCCCACTTCTTCGGATGCATAGCAAATGTTATAAGTGAGATTAATGCATGCAGTAACTCGTGACCATTCAGTATGGTCTAAACACAGACTTACAATTCTAATACTAACACACAGGTGAGCCAGACTGACTACGGCTATGTACTTGTGAGTATTCAGTTGAGACATGGGGACCTTGGCATGAGCTGCCACCTGGTCTGCCAGTGTCACAAATAGCCTATGTGAAATGGTTTCCTGTAGCCATGTGTCAGCATAAAACTCACCAATATTTCATATCCACATTGGCAGTCCCAGCCCATAGGCCAAAAATTGAATGGACATGGAGACTGAGGGTTTGTCTACACATGAAATTATTCTTGAATAGGTATTCTGGAATAACTATTCCTGAATAAATCCATATGTACATAAATTTAGTTTAAATCACTTTGGAAGTGGATTGAGCTAAACCAGAAAAAGGCACTTTTATTCTAGAATAAAAGTACAGTGCTGGAGTTATTCTGGAAGTTATTTCATTTGAACGCTTAACTATGGGGGGATACTGCGCAAAATTAATCCAAAGTAACTTTTAAAGTGGATTAGTTAGACCATATTAAATGCCTTCAAAATTCCTGGGTGGATACTCGTATTTACTTCGTGAATTAAACTAAACTGAATTAAAGCCACTTGAATTCTGAATGACAGTATCCATACATCAGAGGGGGTAGCCGTGTTAGTCTGACATGCATCCGACGAAGTGGGTATTCACCCACGAAAGCTTATGCTCCAATACGTCTGTTAGTCTATAAGGTGCCACAGGACTCTTTGTCCCTTTTTACAGTATCCACACAGGAATTTAATGCTATTTGCCTAATTCACACCTTCAGTTAATTCAGATTAATTTTCCTGAATGTCCCTGTGTAGACAAGCCCTAAAATTCACATTTTACTTTCATCTGGAATAAGCTTAATGTATAGACAAACCCTGAGCTACTGTCTTCACCTCAAGGTAGCCCCTCCAGACAGGGGCTTGTCTACATAGTGGGGTACTGTGCTCTCTATTGGGGTGTGATTTCTAAAGTGCATTAATATGCTGTGCATTAACTGATCCATGTAGATCCTACTGGTGCGCACTAAAGGTTTCCTAGTGTGTTTTCACATAGTCCTGTTTTAAACAGCACTTTCACAAAAGGCACTTGCAGCATCCACTCTGTGGCTAAACCAAAGATTTCACTCTCTCATCAGTGCTAAATTCTTATACACTCTTTACACAGAATAGCCCTTAACTGCTGTCCCATTTCCATCTGCTTGGAAGTGTTGACATTCAATGAACTCTGCCACATTCTGCTGCTGCACAGAGCGTGTGGCAGGGAACAGCAATTAAAGGGTTGACATTTTCCCTTATTTTTTTAACAGGACACGTGTCAAAACACAATGATCAGAACATACTTAATGCAGAAACATAATTAATACTAAAATATAAACAGAAATCAATTACTGCAATGGGAACTGTTGAGTACTCAGCATTTTTGAAAATCAGAACACTGATTTAGTTGCCTAAATATGGGTGTAAGACCCTAACTTTTAGTTCTTATTTCTGAGACCCTGGGCCACAAAGCCTAACCACTTCCATTTTTTTATTTAGGATACTGCTGGACAAGAGAGATACAGGACTATCACTACAGCCTATTATCGAGGCGCTATGGGGTTCATCCTGATGTATGATATCACCAGTGAAGAGTCGTTTAATGCAGTGCAGGACTGGTATGGAACAAATGATTATCCCTCTTTTTTATTTTTTAAGCCAGTTATCTCTTCACCAATGCTTGTGGACTGTTTCATGTGGGTTGGGAGTAATTTCCTTACCCCCCTGCAGTTGCTTTGTATTACTATGTTCTTCATCATTCATTTGAAATTCAGAAGAAATGTTTCACTATGGAATTGCGCTTGAGAAAAAGTTGCACAGCTCCACTAGCTAGTTCCTTTAGGGTTTTAAAAAAAAATTTTATAACAGATTTTATTTCCAGTGGTGGATTTTTAAAGCTCTTGTTCACAGCAAAAATATATATATATACGGTAATACACAACACTTATGGGTTATTGAGGTTCTTCCCTATAGAGCCACTACAACCCAGTAAAATGCTGGTTTTACAGGCCAGTTGGACACAGCCAATCATTATTATAACCTGGGTAAAATCTAAAGAAGAGGGGTAAAATTTTCAAAAGCACCTATTCCCATTTTCAAATGTGATTTTAGGCATTTAAGAGCCTAATCACTTTTGAAAATGGAACTTGGGATCCTCTGTGACATAGGAGGTTTTGAAAACTTTAGCTGAGGTTTTCCAATTGACCTTTACGAACTCTATGGAAAAGGTTAATTGGTCTTATCAATTTTCAGCTGTGGTGCCTGGTTCAGTTCCATTATATACTCACTGCAACCTTAGTGAACCATTATCATTGCTGTACTGAGAGTGCATGTGGTTAAAGCTGCCTAAGACCCAAATAAAGTATTAATGGGGAAAAAATAATACTGAAGGTATCAATATATGCTTTGTGGCATTTTGAAGCACCTTAGCTTAGCTGGGGAGGGACGAGCCCTGAAAGTTTGACAGAGAGTAACTTTCAATACTTTCATAAAGGGCTCTGATTAAAAAAAAATCTTTAACCTTTAATAGGCCCTATGTCCAAGGAATGCATGTGTTGCAGTGAGCAGGGTTAGGGATTGGAGAATCTCTTATTTGTAAAAAGCAACAGAGGGTCCTGTGGCACCTTTAAGACTAACAGAAGTATTGGAGCATAAGCTTTCGTGGGTGAATGCCCACTTCATCAGACGCAAGTAATGGAAATTTCCAGAGGCAGGTATAAATCAGTATGGAGATAACGAGGTTAATTCAATCTGGGAGAGTGAGGTGATCTGCTAGCAGTTGAGGTGTGAACACCAAGGGAGGAGAAACTGCTTCTGTAGTTGGATAGCCATTCACAGTCTTTGTTTAATCCTGATCTGATGGTGTCAAATTTGCAAATTTGTGTTCACAACCAGGGAAGGAGACAACAGCATGTGGCAAACACACTTATATTCAGGAGGCGGCAACAGCACATAGAAAACAAATTTGTATTACCTGCACCTGTTGGAGATATTTATTGCTCTTAAAAATATGCTGATCATAATGAGAATATGGCCCAGTGTCAGTGTTGCCAGGTGTCTGATTTTCGACTGGAAAATCCAGTCAAAAGGGAACCTGTACAATGTCCGGTCACCGCGGGGCAACGGACGGGATGCCGGGTCATCAACCCATGCCAGGTCCTCCCCTGGGGGAGAGGGGTGTAACGCCTGTGTGAGAGGGGGTGCCCTGGGAAAGGCCTCAGTGTGGGGGAGGGAGTTGCAGAGCAAGCCCACCTCACGCTCACCCCATAGCGGCAGCTCCTGCGGCTCTTATCCCACGGGGATGTCTGGGCTTGGCCCTCCAATCCAGGGGTTGCAACCTGTCCCCTGGTGCATGGGGTTGGGGGTCAGGCCAAACAGGAACAGTGCTGTGTGACTAAGTGCATCAGAGGTCAGGTTGCAACTCCGAGAGCGGGGAGCCAAACCCAGCCAGCCCTGTGTGACAAGAGGCTTTGTGGGTCAAAGTGGGAGAGTCCCATGAAACCTGGGACTGTTGAGGGTGGTGGTCTGCCAAGGGTCTGTCTAGTCCAATAACTTGACTGAAATCAGCAAGTGCTAGGTGCTTCAGAGGAAGGTTAAAAAACCTCTTGGTGGACAGCTATGGAATAATCTGCTCAGTTTCTCCCTAACCCCTCTCAGATTGGTTGGTTTATGCCCTAAAGCATACGAGGTTATATCCCTTCTAAAAAATCCCAACATTATTTATACACCACAACATAGGGTTTGGTGAGGCTCAAGTGAATGGAGACTTGTGAGCATTGGCATCAGGAGCCCAAACAGCTCCTTCATTTACAGCTCCTCAGTGACCAGTTCAAGGCCTCTTATTTGCAAGTGACTGAGAGCAAGCTTTGAAAACCCAAGGTACTGACCGACTAATTGTCCAGTGCTGCCACATCTTCAGCAAAGAGCCCAGGTAAGATGGTGCTCAGCTGTATGGAGAATTCTTTTTAAATTCGGACTTAAAACTGTATTCAACGTATGGTGGAGGGGAATGGGGGAGTAATAAATTAGTGTTGTTGGGGAATGGTAGGCTTTAACCCTAAAACTAGTCTCTGGGCCAGATCTTCAGCAAGTATAAATTGGAGTAGCTTCATTAACTTCAGTAGAGCTACAGTGATTTACATCTGGCTCTTTAATTATAAACTTTGGAAATAGTTTAGCTGTTGCAATGAAAAATATAAAGCCATTGGTCAATCACATTTTAAGCTCAAAAATAGTATCTGTCTTTGGGCTTGCAAGTTGAAGCTGACATTGAGAAAATGCTGATTTTATTTCTGTCTTCTATATAAATGGCTGAAACATAATCTGGTACTAGAATGTATACCCAGTTTAATGTTACTACAATGTTAGAACAGCGTTCACTCAGGCCTGGTCTACACTACGAGTTTAGGTCGACTTTAGCAGCGTTAAATCGAATTAAGCCTGGACACGTCCACACGACGAAGCCCTTTCTTTCGACTTAAAGGGCCCTTTAAACCGGTTTCTTTACTCCACCTCTGACGAGGGGATTAGCGCTAAAATCGGCCTTTGCGGGTCTGATTTGGGGTAGTGTGGATGGAATTCAACGTTATTGGCCTCCGGGAGCTATCCCACAGTGCTTCATTGTGACCGCTCTGGACAGCACTCTCAACTCAGATGCACTGACCAGGTAGACAGGAAAAGCCCAGCGAACTTTTGAATTTCATTTCCTGTTTGCCCAGCGTGGAGAGCACAGGTGACCACGCAGAGCACATCAGCACAGGTAACCATGATGGAGTCCCAGGATCGCAAAAGAGCTCCAGCATGGACCAAATGGGAGGTACGGGATCTGCTCGCCATATGGGGAGACAAATCAGTGCTAGCTGAACTCCGTAGCAGTAAACGAAATGGCAAAATATTAGAAAAAGTCTCAAAGGCCATGAAGGACAGAGGCCATAACAGGGACGCACAGCAGTGCCGCGTGAAAATTAAGGAGCTCTAAGGCAAGCCTACCACAAAGCCAGAGAGGCAAATGGAAGGTCTGGGGCAGAGCTGCAAACATGCCGCTTCTACGCGGAGCTGCATGCCATT